AGAAGTCAAGTCACAGAGCAAAGAAGAAGCAGAGCTGGAGTCCTAAATCAAGGCAGCTCTTTTCACGATGAGAAATTGAAAGTAATTTTTTGACCTCAGAACTGTAGAAGTGAACTAGATTATTCTGACTATTACCTGCTGCGGAGTGTAGCTGGCTGTAGCCATGACATACCTCTCAGCACCCTAGTTTGTATTCCACTTCCTGACTCTATTAATGGCTCAGTCCTGTGGGCACTGATTTCATAGGGATGGGAAGGGGACAGGGAGGAAAGACAGTCCAGCTTGATGAAATGGGAGCTCTGAAGAACAGGCAACTGTTGACTGTTCACTTCTCACCTTGTCCTCATTCCCTCCACTTTTTTATCATGCAACTTGTTATCTTGCACACAAACCCCAAGGGCAGGCTCACAAAACAAGAATGACAAGTCAGATAGAAGAAACTGAAGTTCCAGGGAAGGTGTCAGTGTGGCTGCGTGCTCGTATTTTCATGCCAGTACAGATGTGAGATTTCTCACTGTAATTCAAGTCCCTTCCACACTGGTTGCTGAGCCTCACGTGCCTGAGGCAAGTTGCAGACATCCCAGTTGTCACCTGCCCCTGCCCGGGTGCTAGGCTCTTTTGGAGGCCATCATCTGCATCTGTTGCATTTGAAACAGTTTGGAGAATTGCTCTCTTCATATGACAGACTGCACTGGGATTGTTCAAGTTACTGTTATTACTTATAAAATGATGTGGCATCTCATTGGGGTTTATTCCCAGCTCTCTGCTCCAAAGCAGCCAGTCTGGTTAGGAGAGGCTTTGCCCCTCTAACTCTCACTCTAACACCTGCCTTCACTCAGAGGCCAGCTCTGAGGTATCTGCAGGATGCAGGGCAACCTGGGCCGCACCCCCCATCTTGTGGGACTGACTCTTCCCTTTGCTCTGCCCAGAGGGACACAGGTCACTGAGAAGATTCTGGCAGATCTCTGACTGTGTCATGGGCTCTGTTCCCTTCTCTATCTCACTCCTCCGTGGTCCCCTAACAATTAATTACTTCTCCTTTTTTCATTCTAACTTCCCACATTTTTGTTTCTTAACTAGCAAAATTTAAATCTGTCAACATCAGGAATAATAGTAAAATGTTAGATTCCTGTTTTTCTTTTTTTTTGTTTTTGTGACGGAGTCTTTCTCTGTCGCCAGGCTAGAGTGCAGTGGCACGATCTCAGCTCACTGCAACCTCCACCTCTCAGGTTCAAGCGATTCTCCTGCCTCAATCTCCCAAGTAGCTGGGACCACAGGTGCCCACCACCATGCCCACCTAATTTTTTTTGTATTTTTAGTAGAGACAGGGTTCCAGCATCTTGGTCAGGCTGGTCTTGAACTTCTGACCTCGTGATCCACCCGCCTTGGCCTCCCAAAGTGCTGGGATGACAGGTATGAGGCACCGAGCCCAGCCTTCCTTTTTTTTTGGATATGGAATCTGGCTCTGTAGCCCAGACTGGAGTGGTGTGGCACAATCTCAGCTTACTGCAACCTCCACCTCCCGGGTTCAAGCAATTCTGCCTCAGCCTCCTGAGTAGCTGGGATTACAGGCGCCCGCCACCACGCCCAGCTAATTTTTGTATTTTTAGTAGAGACGAGATTTCACCATGTTGGTCAGGCTCGTCTTGAACTCCTGACCTTGTGATCCACCGGCCTAGATTTCTTTTAAAAAAGGATTTGTATTAATTTAAACAAACTCAGGTAACTATTACCAGCTCTAATAATATTAACGAACACAGGCCAGGCATGGTGGCTCATGTCTGTAATGCCAGCACTTTGGGAGGCTGAGGTGAGCGGATCACTTGAGCCTGGGAGTTCAAGAGCTACCTGGGCAACAAGGTGAGACCCTGTCTCTAAAACAAAAAAACCCATGGCCACTAGCATTTGTGGGGTGCCTCCTAAACATAACCTATGAGGTAGATAATATGATCAAACCCTCATTCTAAGACAAGGAGTCTGAATCATGGAGAAATTGAGGACCTGGCCATAGCCACACGGTGAGTGGCAGAGCTGTACCTGGACCCGAGCAGTTTGACTCAGCCCACAGCACTGTGGTTCTACTGGGGTGCTCTTCTGCAAGTTACTGCCCATATGAGCCAGAGTGGAAGAAGCAGAGGGGCTCCTCTGCTGTCTCCCTCCCCTGTCTGTGCCCCCACCTCCCTTCCCTACTTCTTCCCCTGTTATTTCAAGCTGTCTGCTACCCCCCTGCAGGCCCAAGGCTTCATTTCCATCCCTCCACCTCTTCTTCCTAGGTCTTTCCTCTATCTCAGCGAGCATTACGACCCCTTCCATGCCTCTGTCCCACCTCTGCCTCCCTTCTCATTTTTACCCACACATGGATGTTCCCCACTGTAGCCAAACTGGTCCCTCAGACACACCCCATTGTCTTACACCTTCATCTGTTCAACATTTTCTGCAGGCCCTTTCTACACCAGCATTCACACAACAAGGTCTCCACTCCCAGCCTCTGTTTTTCTAAGCCTGCAATTATAGAACTTCCCTGGGTCCTACTTGCACAGTGAGCAGAAGAGGCAGGCCACCCTTCCCTGACCCATACCTCTGCCAAGCCTGCCAGGTTAGCCCTGGTGCCTCGTGGCAGGAACAGTGTTTGTGGGCAGTGCCTGGTACTCAGATATTAATAACCACCACCAAGCACTGATGACAAGCAGGAGGAAATCCAGCCCTGTGGCTTCACAGTCTGTATTCCAGTTATTTTTAAACAGCGTTTTGTTGTGCCCATGACATTGTGCTTGTAGCCAAGTGTCTGGATTATGACAGACCCTGAGGAAAGGACAATAATAACAATACATTAATTACAAATGTTTACCAAACATATACTCAGTTTATTCCCTGGACCCAGATGCTCACACTTACAACCCTGACTCTGAGAGAGAGTTTTAAAGCAAAACTGTATTGCTTCTTGAGGCAGGACTCATGAGGCCCTGCAGAGGCCCCACTGTTCTTAGGACCAATCAGACACACAGAGAATCTGTGCCAAGGAGGCAAGCCCTGAAACCTGAGAGACCAGGGGAGCCAAACCTTAGTCCGTCCTGGCCCAGCTGGCAGCCTTTGCCCCATACCCACGCCTCACGCCCAGTGTTTGGCCCTGACTCCATGGCACCACCTGAGCTGTGGCCCAGAAAACTCTCCTACAGACACGTTTGACCAGCATCAAGGCATAAGTTTCTGGTCACCTCAACACACTCATACCCTCTCCAGAGCCACTCATGTAGCCTGATGGCACCAAATCTCGCCTCACACTCCTGTCACAAAGGAAGCCCCTCTGGGAGGACAAAATCCTCCACCCAGTCTAGTCCTCATGGAGCTGACTTTCCCACATGAGGAAGCAGGACCTTTAGCTTTTGTTGCATCCCCTCCCTGCTGTGTTCAATGGAGCCTTAAGCCTGGTGTTTACCCACTGTCCAGTGACCAGGACACCCTCTCTGTTGCTTCAGGCATCTCAGAGCTGAAGGCAACTGTTCTGTTTGGCCAGTTGCTCTTTATTTTTTTTTTTTAGCTAAACTTTCCTGAGGGGCGCAATGTTATTAGGACTATTATGAAAGTGATAACAAGCTCCCCACTCTTTAATGACAGCCTTTTAAGATATAATCCACATATAAAACATGTTTTGTTTTGTTTGAGACAGTCTTGCTCGGTTGCCCAGGCTGAAGTGCAGTGGCGTGATCTTGGCTCACTGTAACCTCTGCCCCCTGGGTTCAAGTGATTCTCCTGTCTCAGCCTCCCAAGTAGCTGGGGCCACAGGCACGTGCCACAACGCCTAGCTAATCTTTGTATTTTTAGTAGATATGGGGTTTCACTGTGTTGGTCAGGCTGGTCTCAAACTCCTGACCTCGGGTGATCTGCCTTCCTTAGCCTCCCAAAGTTCTGGAATTACAGGCATGATCCACCATATACCCAGCTAAATGTGCCCCCCTCCCCAACCATTTTTTTTGAGATGGAGTCTTGCTCTGTCTCCCAGACTGGAGTGCATTGGTGTGATCTCAGCTTACTGCAACTTCTGCCTCCCAGCTTCAAGTGATTCTCCTGCCTCAGCCTCCTGAGTAGCTGGGATTACAGGCACATGCCACCGCACCTGACTAATTTTTGTATTTTTAGTAGAGATGGGGTTTCACCATGTTGGTCAGGCTGGTCTCGAACTCCTGACCTCGCAATCCACTTACCTTGGCCTCCCAGATTGCTGGGATTACAGGCATGAGCCACCATGCTAGCCCAAATGTGCTATTTTAAAGTGTACAATTCAGTGGTTTTTAGTATATTGACAGAGCTAAAAGATTACAACATGATTTTTTATGACTGGCTTCTTTCACTTGGCATAATGTTTTCAAGGCTCACCCATGTTGTAGCGTCTATCAGTACTTCGTTCCTTTTTACTGCTGAATAGGATTCTGCTGTATCATAATATACCACTTGTTTATTCAGTTAATGGAAACTTTACACTGGAAAATGGATTGGGTTGTTTCTACTGTTTAGCTCTTACACATAGTGCTGTTATTAACATACATGTAGCAGTTTCTGTGTGGATGTGCATTTTTAATTCTCTGGGCACATACTGAAAAGTGGAATTGCTGGGTCATATGGTAACTCTATTTTTAACAATTTAAATGACTTTCAAGCTCTTTCTCAAAGTGACTGTACCATTTTACAATCCCATCAGCAATACATGAGGTGTTGCCTATCTCTTTGGATGTTCACAGCAACCTTCTAAGGTTGGTATCATTATAAACTACAACTTAACAGATCTGGGCACTGAGGCTTAGTAAGTAACTTGCCTGTAGTCATGCAGCTGGCAAGTGGCAAGGCTGAGACTCAAACTGTGGTCTTGTGATTCCAGATGACATGCTTTTCACTCTGTGACCTACTGCCAAGTGTTAACCCTTCGTCACCTATGAACAGCTGTGTTTCTCACCCTTTCACCTCTATGCCTGCATCACCCGGTGAGAAGTCTTTCTGTGTTGCAGGACGTGTCAGGAAATGCTGCATTTCTGGCCTTCACTCCCTTTGGGTTTGTTGTTCTTCAAGGAAACAAGAGGGTCCACTTCATTAAATGGTGAGCGTCTTCATTTCCAAAACAGGCTCTTTATATCTCACCAACTGGGGAGGGGCGATGGTTCCCATGTCCTTTGTGTGTGATTGGGCAGTTCTGGTTCAGAGCCCTCTCCAAAGCCTTGCGTTGATAGTGGTTACTGATGAAGGGAGTGGTCTCTTCCTAGGGATCCTGTTCTTCCAAAGGGGTGTCCCTGAGAGCCAACAGCCTCTCCAGAGAGGAAAAGGGATAAGAGGTTTGATTTCTGGGGAGAGTGAGAGGCCCGGGGCTGGAGGCAGTGTTAGCTGAGCAAGCTCCTGTGAGAACTGAGTCCTTGAGGGCATCACCCACTGAGGGCAGTAGCCAGCCCTGTTAAGCCAGCTGTTCTGGAGCATCTCTGTGGATGGCTTAGTGCCCTTACCTGCTCTGCTAACAAGAGTGGGGAGGGGGCTCACAGACAGTGACCCCTGGGGCACATATAAATCACCCTGTTACTTTAGCAAAACACCCTCCTCCGACCAGGCCTCACTGTGGGCATTGTGTCTGCAAGAGCTCACTTGCTGCTGTCTCACTCCTATCCCTCTTTGGCATTTAAGTGTCCTCAGCCTCCAGGAGTCATATTCCCACTCTTCCTTCCCTCCCCTCTCCACTCCCATCTCACAGGCACGAGCCACTGCCTCCGCTGCAGCTACTCTGAACTGCTTCCTCTCCTACCCCTCTCTGTTTTGTTTGGGGTGGGTTCTGCTGCATGCCTCTGGACAGACTCTGGTTTGTTGATTGACATTTGGCTCTCCTGGAGACCCTTTAGCTGGCCAGCCCATACAAACATCTGTCGGCATCAAAACATTTTGCATATTCTACTAAGCTCCTGTGATTTCTTTACCTTCCTGGGTGTCACACTGCCAAGTCTAAGCTGGCCAACTCCTCCTAGGGGCTTAGATAAGTGGCTTCCTGGTCCAACAGAGTTCAGTGGAAGGAAGCCTGCTTGGTTTCTTTGCCTTCTCCGGGACAGCTCATGAGGAATCTTGAGTACAGGTGCTTCCTAGTCAGCGTTCTGCTGGAGCCACTGCAGGCCATTTGCCCCGCTGTGCCCTCTTCAGCTCCCCCACTGAGCTTGAGCTTGAGGACAGATAACACCATTCCAGCCCATCTTGCTTTTGTGAAGGATGGCATTACGATCATCAGCCAGAGTGCTGGTGAAATTGCTCCTCACATATGCCACGGGGTGGGGCCTCATTCCCCAGGACAACAGCCCAACACAAGGCAGCTGCTGTCCTGGAGTTACCAGAATACACCCTGACATACCTGTTTCCTAGGCATCCTCAAGTCAGCCTACTTCACTGTGCTCTCTGGGTGAAGATGGGAGGATTTGGAATCTCCTGTCCAACCAAATGCTTTTCAGAAAAAGACAATGAGCAGGATCAGGCTGCAGCCCTCATAGTGTGGGGCCTCTGCTGCCTAGATACATCTGGGCTATTTGATGTTCCTTAGACGGCCCAGATCCTGGGCCACATTCCAGCCAGAGTAGCTGTTGCGTCAGGTCCCTGTCAGGGGGCATATTTAGCTAGAAACAAGTAGGACACACCTGTTACAGACACCTGCAGTCCCTAAATTATCCCTACCCCTCCAGAAGCCATGATGTCTCCTAGTTCTCACAGACGCTTTTCTTTCCATGGCTTTTCTCATGCACTACTTCTTCTGGAAGTCTCCTCTTCACCCTGTGTCAACTCTGTAATAATAAATGTAAACCCAATCTCACCTTCAAAATAAAACTCCTTTCCTAGCTTGCTTGTTGGAACCTAGATGATCTATGTGTTTGTCTATATATTAACCAATTGGCATTTATCATATTGTGTGTGTGCATGAGATTGATGGTTGAGAGGGAGTTTGAGAGGGAATCATACAGGGAAGGGTTACCATGTGGCTTCTGTTAGCTCAGAACTGGTGGTCAGAAGTTGTGAAATCTCATCCTGACCCCGGTCATGATTTCCAGGACTGTAAAGAACAAGTGATTTTCCTCTGTCCCCTGAAATTTGTCCAGCAGTAAATTGGATACATGATTCTCAATACCTTTCTACTACTTCCTAGGATATTGAGGAAATCTCCCTAGAAATTCTTTAAAAAAAAAAAAAAAAAAGCAGCAGCCAAGTGGAGGTGGATGTGCATGACCAACTGCTTTGGGGATCCCAGTTGGGTAGAGAAATGGGGTCTCCAGTTTCATGGAGAGAGCTGAGAGGCTCCAGAGGGCAGCTATGTTGGGCAGATAGAAGGGAAGTGAGGAGCGACCAGTGCTGAGTCCTAGTTCTCTGGCTCTCAGGGACATTCACCTAAGACCCAGTAGTTTTTCCATTTTGCAAATGTAACCAAGGCTGAGAGCAGGAGGTGGATGTGGAGGTGAGGTCTAGGCCGTGCCATGTATAGTAACCATGTCACTTCTTCTGATTTGTGTCTGTCCCACGGGTGATGTACCCCAGTATCCTGTTTGCCTCTTTTACTGCAGCCATTCACTGGGCTGGTGGCTTCAAGGATTTTTCTACAATAACCCCTAAGCCCCTTTCCTGGTCAGTACGCTGCATGACTGTTCCATGTAATCTGTTCTCTCTCTTTGGTATGTTGCCCTGCCCCGCTCCCTGAGATTGTTTGATATTTGTCTGCATTAAACTGCATTTTCCATCCAGTGGCACAGTCACCTGAAAGACTCAACTCCCTCAGAACCTGGTTGCATTGTTTCTCATTATTTGCTGTATCTTGAACTTTGGCCTCATCAGCTACCTGTGGCATCTTACGTTTGACAGTCCCATCCAGATAATGCACCTGTGTAATGAACCCAATCCTGAAATGACCCTGGATACTCTACCTAGACTCACTTTCCATGCAACTGTTTCCCTTTTACAGCCACTGTTGATAAGCCTGAAATCCTCCTGTCACCCTATTACTATAGTGTGATTGACCAGAAAACTGTGGATTGAACTGTTTCAACAACGTTCTCTAAGGCCACTGCGCTGCTGTCTTGTTTCAGTTCTAATTTTGGCTAAAATTGTGTCTGTGCCTGGAGCCCCTTCCAGTTGGGGTGGGCTTTGCATCTACAAGATTTAACTGGAACAAGCAACCTGCAATGAAGTGACAGGCACTATCTTTGTGCTTCTAGGAATGAGGTGACCAAGTTGAAATTTGAAGGAAAGACTTTCTATTTATACGTAAGTCAGAAAGAGGTAAGTGCTGGCTTCCTTCTCTTCAGGGAGGGCTGGGGTGATAGGATGCTTCCTGGTGGCCAGAGCCAAGCTTGAGGGATCCTGGTAGAGCCAAGCCACCCACATGCTAAGCTAAGACCAAGGTCAGGACCTGGAGGTACAATGCAAAGGGGGAGGAAGGCCCTGGAGCACAGGACTCCTCAGGGATGCTGCTGACACCCAGAGCTTCCACACAAGAGATCTCCACTTCCAGGAAATGCAAAGGAAGACTTTTTTTTTTTTTTTTTCATATATATGGAAATTCCAAAGGCAAGAGCCACCTTCTCACCAAGAGCTCGCCTGGTTCAATTTGTGCCAGTTTCATGCCAGCTGAGACTTACCCTGATTGGACTTGCCAAGTGCGACGTGATGCACTGAACTGAGCTCTGCTCCAGTGGGTCCCATGGGCCCCCCCTCCAACTAGCCAGCTGCCAGGACCTCTAACAGCTCTGGGGTCAGGGTCCTCATCTACTTCACCCTTGACTTCTCCATCCATACTCAGCCATATCTATGTGGAATGTTTTGCAGGAAAAGAAAATTATTCTTACATATTTTGCTCCAACTCCTGAAGCGTGTAAGCACCTCTGGAAATGTGGAATTGAGAACCAAGCCTTCTACAAGTGAGTGGATACATGTGATGGGGACTGTCTTTCTCAGAGCCAGACTCACAAAGAGTCAGGACAGGAGGCCACATGGCCAGGAGCCTGGGGCAGGGTAGCTGGTATTGGGCAAGAGCTTGACGGTTACTGAGAAGCCAGGTTGAGGCCAAAGGGCAAGAGCTTTGCCTATCAAAGGGATTTTGTAAAATATGTGGGGCTTTTGTGTTGTTTTCTTCTATTAAGAAAGTGGTTATAAAAGCATTAGGGAGTGAAGAAATGGCCCATCACAGGGGTGAAGTCAGGTAAAGCATGTCTCACTAAACCCCTTGGTCTTACTTTAAAAATAAACCATAATGATTTATGCTTTACTAAGATGTATATGAATGAGGTCAAGGCAAGACAGTGTGTGTGGTATATTCTACCTAGGGCAAGCCCTGCTCTCACCAAATGCCCCTGACAGGCCAGGTCCTGGCTCTAGTAACCTGAAGGATCCTGGAGAGATGAGAACTGCTTGGGGCTGAGTGGCACCATGCTCCTCCCCAGGGAAGATTCTGCTGCCTGCTAGCTGTTATGGGGTGCTGGCTGGCAGAACTGATGTCCTTCCAGTTGCCAGGGCCACAGCCCCAGAGGCTGTTTCTTAGAAAGGCATTCTGAATTGCTTCATACTCACTGTGTGTTCATACCAGAATCAAGGATTCACTGAATCAGCAGCCTTTCTTCTCCTGAAGAATACACTCAGGGGAGACTTTGGCATGGTCACATTTCCCTCCTGTTCAGTCCCTACTGTCCATAGAAAGTCAAGAAAACATTTATTTTCTTTAGCTACCACCCGCTCTTTGCCTGTGAGGATGTAATCCAGGTTTGGCCAGTTACACGAACCTAGAGAGAAGCAACTTGAGATGCAAACTCCTGCTTGTGGGACTGAGGAGCAGCCCAGGAAGGATGGGGTCTCATGGGTCTCCCTAGCAGAGAGAGGAAGGCGCTAGCAGACAGGGGCCTGCTCCACACTGAGCTGTCACTGTCCTGGGAATGGTGTATGTGGAAGACTTCCCTTTCTCTCTGCCAAACGGTCTAATGCAAACAGAAGCAATCTCCTTGTCTCTTGTCTTTTCATGCCTTCAGCACCATTTCTTAAGGGGGTGGTTTTCCCATCTGTGTCATGGAAACAGAAGTGTGCTTCTGAACCTGTGACCACACTCGGTTTCTGAGTGTTCCCACGAGTAAATCTCCATACCCACCCAGCCCTGCCTGCACCCACTCTGGAAACTGAGGTCATTTTTCAGTTTTCCGTTGCCTCCCTAATGTTCTTGCTAAGTGGTAAAAGCCTCTAGCCGGGGTCAGATCCCCAGGTATGCCAAGTCTTTGGCAGTAGTGCTTTGGCCTTGCTCAGTGTCTCTCACAGATCCCTAGTCCTGCCTTTGGCCTGATGCCTTGGCAAGAGCCCAGTCAGATGCAAGAACATGCCCAGGCAGGGGGGTAAGCAGCCGGATGTCCCAGAACCCTGAGACAGGCAGGGATGGTATCTCCCAGGAACTCTTCATGGATGTGGAGACAGCTCCTACTCACTGCTCATAGCACAGGTTTCAGACCCACATGGGTCCCTGGCTGGATCAGTACCATAGGCACCTGGTCATGTTACAGGTGGATCCCATCTTAGGAGACTTCTCTCTGAGCAGCTCAGCCCAGGCTGAGAGAGCTAATGGGCTCAGTGAAGTCACCCAGGAAAACATATCACAGAGCTCCACATCAGCCGTCCACAGCTTCAAAAGAGATATTAAATAGACATTCTGGGGGAGGGAGGAAGGCTCTGAATTCAAATACATGATGGAACTTTTATTAAAGTTAAGCTAGTTTTTTCATTGCAGGATTTCTCAGTCTTTACCATGGTCATGTATTTTAGGACCCTCCAAGAGGGAGATGGAACAGGAAGGGCAGCCCCCACCCTCTTCCCTACCCAAATCACCCAGACAGACACAAGATCAAATACTGGAGCTGGAAAGGAGACCCCTGAGATCCAGCAGTCCCAGCTCCATCATTTTAGAAGGGTAAAGCTAAGAGGGAAGGAAATGTGCCTGAAGTCACACCACACTGCTAATAAGTGGTCTGGCTGAGATCAGATGGGTGGCATTCTGTTATTCCCCCAGACCATCGACCTGAGCAAGTATTCTCTCAGTCCCCCTGGTAAAACCTATGAAGCATTTTGCGGGGGCCTTCACTCTCCTGACACCAAAATTGGTTTCCATGTGACAGTCCTGGGCATTGAAGCAGGAGGGCAGCTGGCTGTGAGCACAGCCCCCAGATCCTAAATGACAGTCAGAGACAAGTGTGGAGTATAAAGGGATTTTTCCTGAAGAGTTTCAAGTAGACTTTGAAAGTTGGGGATGTGCTGCCTTAGCCTGGGTGAGATAGTTCAGGCCCTCTGTCTCACTGGACTTTGTCTTGCTGCAGGCTGGAGAAGTCAAGCCAAGTCCGCACAGTGTCCAGCAGCAACTTATTCTTTAAAGGGAGCCGGTTCCGATACAGGTAAATAGTGACAGTAAGTAACCATTACGGATCTATTTTCAGACCCTTCTCTGGAGAACATTCAGTGGTCCTTATCCTTGAAGAACAGAGAAACTGGGGAAGACTCAGAAAAGTCTGAGGTTTCCATTCAATTCTCCTGTCTTATGACCCTGTTACTATTTCCTTCCCTCCCTACAGCTATTTGTCTGTAGGGTTTTAATGTATATCGGCCAAACATAGTGGCTTACGCCTATAATCCTGGCACTCTGGTAGGCTAAGGCAGATGGATCATCTGAGGCCAGGAGTTCGAGACCAGCCTGGGCAACATGGTGAAACCCATCTCTACAAAAAATATAAAAAACTAGCTGGGCATTGTGGCGCACACCTGTAGTCCCAGCTACTTGGGAGGCTGAGGTGAGAGAATCGCTTGAGCTCAGGAAGTCGAGGCTGCAGTGAGCCATGATTACACCACTGTCCTCCAGCCTGGGAGCAAGACCCTGTCTCCAAGAAAATGAAAAATAAATGTGTATCTTCCTTTTCTCTTAAATAGCAGCAAAATCAGAACTATAACAATTATTCTTTTCATGTCTCACTATCTAAAGGTTGTTTCATGTTTTTTTGTGATGCAATCATAACATGCCAGAAAATGAGGAGTTATTCCTAAATGAGAATGGAAGATCATAAAGACTCTCTTAGACATGGAGAGAGCTCTCTCAGATAGGCTGTCACAATGCTTTAGAACTCTCTACCTCAGCAAGCAAGCCTTTCTTAATGATTAAAACATCGGGGAATGGGTGGGCCACAGAGGCCATTTTCAGATTCAGCGAAAGCACCTGAGATCTTGGAGAGGAGCTGTCCTGGAACACAGTCTCATTTCTTGCTGCTTTTTATTATACTACTTATAGTGGCCGAGTTGCAAAGGAAGTCATGGAGTCAAGTGCTAAGATCAAACGGGAGCCACCGGAAATACACAGGTGGGCTGCCGGGGCACCCCCCAAAACAGTTCTAGCTCAGATCCCAGGATCTCCATTCAGCAGTTTGAGTACTGTGAAGCTCCTGGCCCCAGTGGCTACCAAAAGGGGCAGAATAGGGCAGATGGGTGAAGAAACTTCTCAGAAGGAATGGGGAGAAATCTTTGACCCTTAATAAGAGAGTGGGGGAGGATGGGCTACTATAGCTAGTACATCAGATCCAAGTGCTACCTCACTTAGCAGTTCTCTTCTGCCCTCCCAAGTCTTGACATTGATCATAGATATGTCACACCATTTCAGTGGTTCTGGAATCAGTCCATTACATGAAGCCAAGGATGGTCGCACAACCCTGCCACACTGGATGTAAAATAGTTTCAGGATCTGTGCTTCATGTAGATCCACAAATTATGTTTCCAGAAGCCTATCTCCTAGAGTCCGAGACCTAGAAAGGATGACTGATCAAGACTAGGATTTGCCAACCAGCCTTTGCCTCTAGGAATGTGAGCATTACTGCCTGCCCCTTCACATGGCACCCCGTCATCAGCAGCCTCTGTTGGAACTCAGGGGAGGCTGCCAGTGTTGGTCCAGGCATGTTTTCAGGAGTACTGCCCATACTGGGGCTCTACTCTCTGACAGTCTTGCCCCCACCCCGAGACCAGTGGCACTGTTGCCACACTAAAAGGTTCAGATGGGTCTAGCCTTATAAGGAGGTAGAGGAGTTTGAAGCACTGTCTCTGACTGGGATTCAGAGACCAAAGGCAAAGAGAAGTTATTAAAGATTTTTAAAAAGAGAGAAAAGGCCAGGTGCAGTGGCTCACGCCTGTAATCCCAGCACTTTGGGAGGCCGAGACGGGTGGATCACAAGGTCAGGACTTCAAAACCAGCCTGGCCAACATGGTGAAACCCAGTCTCTACTAAAAATACAAAAATTAGCCAGAGTGGTGATGTGTGCCTGTAGTCCCAGCTGCTTGGGAGGCTGAGGCAGAAGAATCGCTTGAACCCAGGAGGCAGAGGTTACAGTGAGCCAAGACCGCGCCACTGCACTCCAGCCTGGTGACAGAGCAAGACTCTGTCTTAAAAAAAAAAAAAAAAAAAAAAGAGAGAGAGACCAAAACTTAATACAACCAGGCAATTCTAGTAGTCAGTACTTAACTCTTAAGTGCCTACCAAATGTATCTGTGCACTGAATTAACAAGGTTCTTTTTATTTAACCACAGAGCAGGGATGGTTCCCAGCCGGAGCTGTCCCTCCATAACCCATGGCCCAAGGCTGAGCAGTGTCCCCAGGACCCGCAGAAGAGCTGTTCACATCTCCATCATGGAAGGTGAGCATGAGCTTCTTTAGGTGACCACTGGGGTCCTCCAAGTTGTGATCTGGGACCTCAAAATGAGGCTAATTTGCATTACTGACAGCAGCGCATTTCTTGGGGAAAAGAGCCTCCAGTGGCGGGTTTTATCCAGTGAATGGGAATACTAGCTGGGTACAGGGTGGTATGGGTATCTAGGTAGGGGGTTGTAGATTTGAGGGTGCTGGGTTAGTACTTTGTGGGACTTGCACATGTGGGATCTACAGGTTCCATGCAGTTCTGAAATTGCTTTCCATCAAGAGGCTTTTCATGCCCGGCACGGTGGCTTATGCCTGTAATCTCAGCACTTTAGGAGCCCTAGATGGGTGGATCATGAGGTCAAGTGTTCAAGACCAGCCTGGCCAAAATGGTGAAACCCTGTCTCTACTAAAACTAAAAAAATTAGCCAGGCATGGTGGCGCATGACTATAATCCCAGCTTACTTGGAAGGCTGAGGTAGGAGAATCGCTTGAACCTGGGAGGCAGAGGTTGCAGTGAGCCAAGATCGCGCCACTGCACTGCAGCCTGGGCCACGGAGTAAGACTGTCTGAAAAAAATGAAATTTGTCCTGTTGCTATCTCAATTTCTTACCACTGTCTCAGGAAATCTAATATGATCCAGCTCCCTCCACACTTCCCTTCCTTTGGAGGAGGCCGAGGTGGCAAGAGGGAAAAAGTCTATGTATCTCCACTGCACTAGATACTCCAGTAGCTGAGGCCAGTAATCTGTTTTCTGGGTAGTTAATGCTGTTAGGAGGTGCTCTTGGAATACTGCCCTCTAGCTGTTGTCACTGGCCCAGGTCACCCACAGGCTGGATACAGATGTGAAGTTGAGTGCTTTCATTCCCAGAGACGGTGTTTTTTTTAGGACCTCAGATCTCATACAGTAGGAGACAGCAGCAGAATTGGTTCATACCTGTCTCTCTCCTGGGATTAACAGCGTGCAACCTGGGGAGGAACAGCCTTTGCCTTTTTTGTAAGAATCCTGCTTGGGAATTAAAATGAAATGGTCAGGTTAGGAAGGGTATCACTCTGCTGTTTCCCTGGGAAGATCTAATTTGTGTTTAGGATTTTAGGATGTGTCACTGTGAATGTGAGATTCCTTGTTACCAGAGTCTGGAATATAACTCCCAATGGTCTAGAGGTTGAGAACCCTGGCTGGACAAACACCATCAAGTTACTTGAGTATCTTCATTGCTCCATTTGTAAAGTAGGAACATCTTCCTTGCCCACCCCATTGGTTGCAAGGAAGCTAATATGTGCAGAAGTATTTTAAAGAGACTAAAGCATTTACGGGCAGGCAGTAAGCAAAGTGCAGAGTCCTGGTCAGGATGCCTAAGGTAAGGTCTGACTAGGAGCTCTGACATGCACTTTCTGGAGCAGGTTGTTTAATCTCTCTGAGCCCAGTGCCCCCACTGCAGAACAGAGCTCGGTGTGGGAGAGTGCCTGTGGACTACCAAGTAGAATCATTATGCAAAGAGTGGAATTATGGATATATGACCATCATCAGACAGCCTCCTGGTGTTTCCTCCCATCTTAGGCTGAGCCAGATGACTGAGCTTGGCTCTCACTGTCCCTCTTCTTTGGGGGTGTACATCTCAGGAAGTAGAATGAAATTCTCCTTCTCTGAGGAAGCAACTTTCTCCCCTCTCTGTGGCTTTTCCTTCCCATCCCTCCTGAGGCTGAAGCTAGACGGTCCATCCCAAGTCTTCCACAGAGCTGGGACAGCTGTCCTCCCCAACAAACGACTCACCGTAGGGAAGCCAGCACCATGCAGGATATAAAACAGGAGAGAAGGCTTGTGCATTGCTACTTCCCAGAACAAGGAAGAATGTTCAGGAAACCAGCATTCCCAAAAGAGGGAGGGCTGAAGCTATGTGGGGACAAAACTCATTGAGAGTTGCTGCCAACTAGAACTGAGGCGGGGGAAATAGTCCTTGTGATCCCAAGACATGCTGGGGCTGCCTCAGTTCCCCATTCAGCTCTGGCTTTACCTCCAGCCTCCTCCTCCCAGAGCCTCTCTTCTCCCATTGCAGCAGCAGGTTCCTTGTCCAAACTGTCCCCCCTTGCTGCCAAATGCAAGGAGAGGTACAGTGGGGAGAGGCTGCTGAGTATAGGCCCCCTAGGGCCAGGCGCTTCCTCAAAACCAGCCTCACAGAATGGCACACTTGGTAGGTTATAGCTCCGCAGTCTTCCAGGTACTTCTCACACCCCGTACCCAAGGCTGCCAGTGGTCAAGCACAGTCCATGGCCCCAGTCAGGGCCCCCAGCCCAGGACCCATTAGATGCAGAAGGGGGCAGGTAGAACTGACCTGGCCTGAATGAATCTCACAGGCTCAGGGTACGGAGAGGGAGATGGACATTGGGTTTAGATGTGAAAATAAAGCCATTTAATTGCAACAGTCTTTTATCAGTACAGGGGCTACCAAGCCTGTGGAAGTAAAGAATGGATTAGTTTCCAGGAAGCAAGAGTTCAGGTGCACCATCTTTCAAGAGGAGGACTTGCCTTTAAAGGTCTTGACAAGCACAGCTGACCCTAACTGCCCACCTCAACCAGGGAGGGAGGGGCTGTGAGGGACGCCGTGAGGGCCTCAGAAGAAGGGCACAACCAACAAAAACCCCAAGAAACTTATGGGCATTTGAAATTGGTTTACGCCCCACCAAAGGCTGTCTTTATTCTGTAGTCTATTTGGCCCATTCATATCACAGAGCCCACCTCCTCACCCTTCAGAGCCACCCAGCTCAAAGTTAGCACTGACCATGCGATGTGGCTGGCAGCAGGGCAGGCCTGGACTAAATACGACCTGGATAAAGCCCATTGGCGTTGTAACTTTACATCCTGGATTTTCTGGGACAATCTTGATTACCTTTGCCCTATGAGATTGTTCTCTGCCCACTCTGTCCCTCGCCCTCTGAGAGGCTGGAGCCCTTATCTGGGCCTGGGGAAGAGCTGCAGGCTACAGAAGCAGTACTTTTTATGGCTCTAAGTGCTTCTGACTAAATCCAGTCCCCTGATAACGTTGGCCTCTCAGAGCTGCTCCTTCCCTGCAGTTCAGCCTGATCTGAGGCTTGGGGAGGTGACCTTCTCTCTACAGCACAGGAGGCACTGCTAAGGGGCTGCTATTGTGTGGGATCTGTGGAAATCCTTTGTTCCTAGTTGGCTTTCCGTCTTTCCCTCTCTGTATCTTTCCCTGCCTGGCTGGTTTCTCTGAAGAGATCAGCTGGTTTCCACTGAAGAAGTATTTGCCTTCCTGGGCCGCCATGGGGAAGAGTCTGATTAAGATTCACACCAGAGTCTGCGTCCAGCTCCGACTGACTAATCACTGCTTTCGGCCCCTAAGTGTGCGCATCCTGAGGATGGGGCCCCGGCTCCAGGGTAGGGTCCTGACTGCTGTGCCCCCCAGCCCACTGGGAGCCACCCTCGGGCAAGGGAATCAGCTGGAACACTTCCAAGGTAAAAAAGACTCTCCTGTTTTGCTGTGCCGCTTAGCTCAGATCCTTCCCATGGCACCACCCTATCTATCCCAGAACAATAGTTTCAATGAAGTGGCAGGACAGGTGGTGGCTTTTATAGTAGTGAAAACAGTTTCTTATATTGGACTAACCTGAAGTGGAAAGGTCACCTTACAGGTGAGGTCTTCTGTTGAGGTCTTTTGTTGACAGACTGATACTCAACAACTTTATTTCTCAGGCATTCTACTAGCAATGCTTATCTAATTGGCTGGGTGCGGTGGCTCACGCCTATAATCCCAGCACTTTGGGAGGCTGAGGCAGGAGGATCAATTGAGGTCAGGAGTTCGAGACCAGCCTGGCCAACATGGCAAAACCCCATCTCTACTAAAAATATAAAAATTAGCCAGGCTTGGTGGCAGGCGCCTGTACTCCCAGCTACTCAGGGGGCTGAGGTGGGAGAATTTCTTGAACCCGGGAGGTGGAGGCAGCAGTGGGCCAAGATTGTGCCACTGTACTCCAGCCTGGGCAATGGAGCGAGATTCCATCTTTAAAAAAAAAAAAAAAAAAAAAAAAAAAAAAAGCCTATCTATCCATTATCTTGTTACTGAGAGCACCAACAGCTCCCAGTATGATGTGGCTCCGGGTAGTCCTCTGACTTGTTTTCTTCACCTCTCGTTCCCCACAAGCTGAGGGCATAATCGTAGGCTAAGCTAAACTTGCATTCAAGGAGCTGCTGGCAGCTCAGCTTTTCATAGTTTGGAAGATCTTGCAGTCAGAGCTGTCCTTCTGAAGGGGTAGGCCTTCGAAAGGTGGCAGGTGCCCTGTGCAATGGGGCTGAGGTTCCAATAAAGGCAGGCAGAGGAGACAAGCCAGCAATATGCTGCAACCAAGACCTTAAGGTTTCTGCTTCATCAGTGACATGTAACATGCTCCAAGGTACATATTCCTCAAGCTGCATGTGCAAATGGGGACATCCGGGAGGAATACTGGGTAAGAGGGAGGTCAAAGGACAGCAAGAGTTCTACAACAAGGGACAGAGGCTCTTAATTTCATGTTATTTCAGAACAGTTTCTTGGGCAATTAAGACCTAAATCTAAGGTAGATGCTGGCTATTGATTTAATCCATCCTGGCCCATGGTTCCATTCCATGGAATCCAACTACAGTTGACACTTATCATCATAGGGTCTTAGAAACTGCAACTTTAAGCAAAATGATGTACAATGAAATTTTTTTTTTTTCCTCATCAACATTGTAACAAAATGGGGCTGGGCGCAGTGGCTCATGCCTGTAATCCCAACACTTTGGGAGGCTGAGGTGGGCAGATCACAAGATCAGGAGTTCAAGACCAGCCTGGCTAACATGGTGAAACCCCATCACTACTAAAAATACAAAAAGTAGCCAGACGTTGTGGTGGGTGCTTGTAATCCCAGCTACTAAAGAGGCTGAAGCAGAATTGCTTGAACCCGGGAGGCGGAGGTTGCAGTGAGCCGAGATTGCGCCATTGCACTCCAGCCCGGGTGACAGAGCAAGACTCTGTCTCAAACAACAACAAAAAAAGCCAGGCGTGGTGGTACATGCCTGTAGTCCCAGCTACTCAGGAGGCTGAGGTGGGAAGATGTCTTGACCTCCCAGGTTCAGGTTAACAGTGAGCCATGATTCCACCACTTGCACTCCAGTCTAGACAATGGAGTAAAACCGTCTCAATAAAAAACTTTTAAAACTTGTAACAAAAAATGATGCTGAAGAAAACATTAGAGGACCTGCTGTAACGTCACTTGGCTTAAAGTCATGGTTTCCAAGAACCTGTTGACAAAGTGAGGACTTAATGGATATGAGCAGCAGGATCATGAACTAGAAAGCGGCTTGGATTCTATCCTTGGTTTTGCCATTAACCACGAACCACATGACTTCAGGCACACTGGGTAACCTCTTGCCTTCACTACTTCGTGGAGTTACTGAAAGATGAAAGTGCTTTAAAAAGTTGAAAGCGGAGACCAGAGATCTAGCGACTTGAAGTAGCATGGCCAAGCCGTGTGGGGTGCGCCTGAGCGGGGAGGCCCGCAAACAGGTGGAGGTCTTCAGGCAGAATCTTTTCCAGGAGGCTGAGGAATTCCTCTACAGATTCTTGCCACAGAAAATTATATACCTGAATTAGCTCTTGCAAGAGGACTCCCTCAGTGTGGCTGACCTGACTTCCCTCTGGGCCACACTGGACATCCCCATCCCAGATCCTCCACCCAAGGATCATGAGATGGAAACAGATAAGCAGGAGAAGAAAGAAGTCCCTAAGTGTGGATTTCTCCCTGGGAATGAGAAGGTCCTGTCCCTGCTTGCCCTGGTTAAGCCAGAAGTCTGGACTCTCAAGGAGAAATGCATTCTGGTAATCACATGGATCCAGCACCTGATCCCCAAGATTGAAGATGGAAATGATTTTGGGGTAGCAATCCAGGAGAAGGTACTCGAGAGGGTGAATGCTGTCAAGACCAAAGTGGAAGCTTTCCAGACAACCATTTCCAAGTACTTCTCAGAACGTGGGGATGCTGTGGCCAAGGCCTCCAAGGAGACTCATGTGATGGATTACTGGCCCTTGGTGCATGAGCAAGATGAGGCAGCCTGTGGGGAGCTCAGGGCCATGGTGCTGAACCTGAGGGCCTTCTATGCTGAGCTTTATCATATCATAAGCAGCAACCTGGAGAAAATTATCAACCCAAAGGGTGAAGAGAAGCCATCTATGTACTGAACCCAGGACTGGAAGGAAAATAAATGACCCAAATAAAAGACAAAAAAAAAAAAAAAAGTTGAAAGCATTACGTAAATTTAAGATTTTAGCACAGGGACAAAAAATACAGCTAGGACCATGAGGAGCTTCTGAAAGCAGAGATTGAGAGCTGCGGCAAAGGTACAAGCCCTGAGGTGAGGTGAATGGCAGGTGCCCTGCCTTTGCCCCACCCCCTCCCTCCCTTGTCCTACTCACTCATAACCCAGATTCCAGGACTTATTCCTCTGGAGAATCCTTAACTGTGCCTGTGCCAAGATGGGCTCCACCAGGCTGGTCAGGCAGGCTGCCCAGGTGCAAATGGCCAAGCCAAGAGGGAGCCAAGGAAGATGGAACACACTGCTTCTGAAAGGTTACTTAACACCTTTTTAATAGAGACCTCTGGGCTGCTTCATGTCCTGGGAGAAGGGAGAAAAAGAGAGAAACATCTTTGGGCTTCTGGAGCTAGCCCTGACTTCCTTTACTGAGCTGAGAAGTCTGACTCAGTCTGGCATTGTCAGGGACTATTTCAGAGCAACAGAAGGGGACTAGGGTTTCTTGTCATAGGTCACAGAGGCAGAGAGAACCACACCAGCACCACTAATATGTCCAGGAGTGGAAAATGTAGATGTCAAGCCTAAAACAAGAAGCCATTTTCTTGGGGGCACTGTGATGTAGGCCATACTTGCTCACTATATGCCCAAAGCCTCTGGCCTGGGTGGTTGCTGTTGAGCGTATAACCAGCTCCTGTTTTCCCTGCCAGGGTTTGAGCCCTGAGAACCTTGGAAAGAGAGAAAGTGGAGATGATAATGGGTAATTTTAGGGGCTAGAATACCCCTTTATCCTACCAAATGTAAGAGAAATCCACCCTCCCCACCACCACCGACCCAACAAGATCTCAGATGCTGTTTTGTGCTCTGACGTGTCTAAAGATATGGGAGCTTTTAGCCTATTCTAGACCCAGCTCCTTCTCGAGGGAAAAGAGAAGGAGCTGGCCAGGGACTACTCCCATGCCCCCTCAGAAAGAGCAGAATTTCTACCCGACCATTCCATAAGGTCAGAACAGCTAGAACAGAGGCTGAAGAAACAGAGCAGCTGCAGAAATCCAAACATATTGACCTTACGAGCTCAAGATGCCGTATGCTGGGTTTTTATAAGGATACTCAGAATTTGATGAAACCCAATTAGGTAAGACATATTCTCCTTCTCCCCATTCCTACTTCTCTTTTATTAAACATTTATTTCATATGTAGAGACAGTGTCTCACTATGTTGCCCAGCCTGGTCTTGAACACTTTGGCTCAAGTAATCCACTCACCTTGGCCTCCCAAAGTGATGGGTTTACAGATGTGAGCTACAGTGTCGGGCTTGTTCCTGCCTCTCAAACCCCTCCACCCATCAGGCATACTTGAGACTCAAACGGTGGTCCCAGCTGTGCATCACAGGTAGTTTGGAATTCAGATTCTCTTTCAAATTGGGATAAAAACCAGCACCAGGACACCAAAGGCAGGGAAGGCAGAAACTTTAACAAATTAGGGGCTGGGTGTAGGGGCTCACGCCTGTAATCCCAGCATTTTGGGAGGCCAGGAGTTCTAGACCAGCCTGGCCAAAATGGCAAAATCCGTCTCCACTAAAAACACAAAAATTAGCCAGGTGTGCTGGCAGACACCTGCAATCCCAGCTACTCAGAAGGCTGAGGCATGACAGTCACCTGAATGTGGGAGGCAGAGATTGTAGTGAGCCAAGAATATACCACTGCATTCCAGCCTCAGTGAGAGTAAGACTCTGTCTCAAAAAACACACAAATCAGGCCAAAATCGTAAGCAAAAAGCAAAGAAAAACTCTTCTTAAATAGCCACTGTGATTCCTGTGGCTTCTCTTCTTCTTTTATATATGTATCTTTGAGACAGGGTCTAGCTCTGTTGCCCAGACTGGAATGCAGTGGTGTGATCTTGGTTCACCTCCCAGGCTCAAGCAATCTGCCCACTTCCAAAGTGGCACTATAGGCATGTGCCATCACACTTGGTTGTTTTTTTTTAATAGAGTTCAGGTCTTGCTATGTTGCCCAGGTATTGTCTTTTTTTTTTTTTTTTTAAAGATGGAGTCTGTCTCACTCTGTTGCCGAGGATGGAGTGTAGTGGCACAATCTCAGCTCGCTGTAACCTCTGCCTCCTGGGTTCAAGCAATTCTCCTGCCTCAGCCCCCTGAGTAGCTGGGATTACCGGCACATGCCACCACACCCAGTTAATTTTTTAATTTTTAGTTGAGAAGAGGTTTCACCACATTGGCCAGGCTGGTCTGGAACTCCTGACCTCAAGTGATTTGCCCACCTCTGCCTCCCAAAGTGTTGAGATTACAGGCATAAGCCATGTTCAGCCTGTCGTCTTCTTGATATGTCAAAACAGAGTGCAGTGGCTACTGCTGCTGGTCATGTGGGTGTGCATAGTGGCACCCAGCAAAACACAATGGGTGCTACTAGAAAGCAAAGGGTGCACTGGGACAGCATACTCATGTTCCTTTTGCCTTTCTAGGCCTAGAATCCCTACGGGACAGTGCTCATTCCACGCCAGTGCGTTCTTCTTCCCATGGGGACACCTTCCTGCCTCATGTGAGAAGCAGCCGGACAGACAGCAATGAGCGAGTAGCTGTGATTGCAGACGAGGCCTACAGCCCTGCAGACAGTGTGCTGCCCACCCCTGTGGCTGAGCACAGCCTGGAGCTGATGTTGCTGTCCCGGCAGATCAATGGAGCCACCTGCAGCATCGAGGAGGAGAAGGAATCTGAAGCCAGCACCCCTACTGCTACAGAGGTGGAGGCCCTTGGAGGAGAGTTGAGGGCCCTGTGTCAGGGACACGGTGGGCCCGAGGAGGAACAGGTGAATAAGTTTGTTCTAAGTGTCCTCCGTTTGCTCCTTGTGACCATGGGACTCCTCTTTGTTTTGCTCCTCCTCCTGATCATCCTTACCGAGTCTGACCTTGACATTGCCTTTTTCCGCGATATCCGCCAGACTCCCGAGTTTGAACAATTCCACTATCAATACTTTTGTCCCCTCAGGCGATGGTTTGCCTGCAAAATCCGCTCAGTGGTGAGCCTGCTCATTGACACCTGAGAAGGCATGACTCCTCCCCAAAAACTAGCCAGGTGGACCAAGGAGCCCGGCTACCCACTCCCAGCAATGGGACCCATCGCGGAACCATCGGCACATATACCAAGTCCTCCTCTCATGACTCAAAGTCCACTGCAGCCTAGGAGGGTGTTTCCCAGAAGAAGAAAGGGATAGGCTCATGCCCTGTCTAAACAAACTGGGAAAACTCATTTTCTTCGAAGTTCTTTCAAGAAAGGCTCAGCGACTCTATTTCTCATCTTTCCAATTTGCAGGATAATTTTTGGTTTTGAATTTTGATTTTTCATAGAGGTGTATTATTTTGAAGTATCAAATAAAAATAATTTATTTTACTATTACTGATTACTGCAGTAGTGTCACCTAGCAGAAGGGACACTAGTTGAAGACTAGAGAGCTGCTGTCCTCTGTATTCTGCAGGAGCTTTCCTGCTGCTGCCACTGGGTTCCAGCACTCGTGACTGCAGCCTCCAAGGGGCAGGCCAGGGATCTGGACAATGGGGACTGTTTAGTTTTTTTGCCAGACAGAATTTTTTAAAAAGTAAACATCCATGTAGAATGATTAAATGGAAAGTTGCTTCCTATGATGGTCTGAGTTGGATTTTCTTTTCCTTTTGTTTTTTTAAATCTGAGCAGAGTGGGCATCTGAAGGGACCACCGCTACAGCAGCAGCAGCAGGGGTGGGGTAAGTCTGTCCCCTTAGTCTAGAGCCTAGTGGGCATTGCTATAGTTTTGTATAATTAAACTAGACTTAATGTGATTTTTTTTTCTAAAGAACCTCTTTCTGAAGACTTTTACAGTGCTCCAGGGCATCAAATGAATTCAGTAGTGCCAGAGAGTTCTGTCAGAAATGTTGGACAAAATGTAGTTAAAGTAGAGCTAAGTTACCTGACTTTATATACCCCGCCCCCCCCCACCAAAGACTATTTCAATTTATATTTTAACAACGAAATGTTATTTTCTTAACAATTCATATTTTGTTTTTACTTTATGGATTAAGAAAATAGAGCCTGATGAACTAAATGATGCAAGAAAGAAACTGATCCTGAGAATGAAAAGCTTCAGAAAATAGAATTCCAAGATCAACAGCCTTAGAAGGGACCAGGAGAAGCAACTTTAAAAATAGGATTTCTAAGAGATGCCTACAAAACACAGAAAGTGACTGTGGCAGAGACCAACACTTAGATGTAGAAGTGCTGCCCCCTAGGGTCATCCTCTGCATAATTTCTAGGAAAGCACTGCCATCCTTGAGGAGGGAAGCCCTGGACCGCAGAAGCACAGGCACAGGAAGGGTGAGTGTGGGGGTCCTAGACCCGAGCTCTTCAACTCTAAAACCAGTCACACACAAGATCCTGTTTTCATCTCAGGGAGAGAATTCTAAGTCATCTGGGGCTTGTGGGTTTATTTAAGGATGGTCAATGGACATATTCCTGGACCCACACAAAAGTAGAGCAGCTGCTGATACCCTATAATGTTGGACAGCCCCAAATACAGAACAGAATGAGTCACTTGTGATTTGACCTCCCCTATTTTGTCCCGAGACAGTAGAACCATGTCCATGTTTAGAATACAACTGTGGAATAATTGGGGTTCTTAGGGAGAGATTTGTATAATTTTAAAGATATCCTTTCATCTAGACCAGAGGTCAACAAATTTCTGTAAAGTGCTACACAGTAAATATTTTGGTTTTGCACACCATACTGTCACAACTACTCAACTCTGCCACCACAGCACAAAAACAGCCATAGATAATATATAAATGGAGGAACATAGCTGTGTTCCAATAAAACTGTATGAAAACAGTCAGCTGAATTTGGCCTAAAGGCCATAACATGCCAATTCTGATCTAGACAATGAAACTGATCCTTACTAGTATGTTAGCAGAAGAGGGTCAGTCATGTCAGTCAGCTCTGTTTCCATGACTAACATGTGTCAAACATCTGGGAATACTTCCCAGTGGAGGCACCAGGTTGCTTGTTTAATGGGTGCTCGACCAACCAACCAGCAAAGAGATGTCTGATGCCAAATAGGCAAGATCAAATACTGGAATGCTAAAACATGGGTGGAATCTAAGAAAAGAAGAGGGCCTCTCTGACCATTTCCATACCAGCAACAATTTGGGCAGAATTATAAACATCTATTTATCGAGTGACAATACAAACCGAAGGAAATCCTAGTAAAGATTAGGGGTTAGTTAAAACCAAGTAGCCACTGCTACTTGTCATCTACATAGCAAAGGCTTTATTTAGCACAGGACTAATGTGAGAAGTAGACCCAGAGATGAAAAGGCTGTCAGGAGACAGGGGGCTGGTGTTAATCTGGATATCTACTGTCTTATGCAACATAGCAGATGACCTTTTAGTGTAGTGCTCCTACCTCAGTTTGTAGAATCTGGTGTTTCTATGCAGTGAGTGATAGCCTCAACTCTGACCTTTCACATTCACATTAGAGACAGAGGCAGTATTCCATATCCTAGTATGTTCCTTGTGTCTAGCATTCTAATAGTAGTCTATGCCATTTCTAACAGCTAAATTTTGCTCTCTGAACAGGAACCTTTAGGGTTATTTTTTTTTCTAGGGCTCATCCCAGAAAATATGGATAGAAAAGTTTCCTTCAGTTTGCTTTTCAAATAGTGCTTGAATAATAAACCTCCTTTGTTGATGACTAGTCTTTTTTGGTATATCTACACCATTAAAAACTGTTCAAGTTTTTAACCTGGTTATACTGTGTTCTAACATGTCTCATTTTTTCTCAAAATTATTTTACCTCATTTTAGAAAAATCAGTGGTTTCCATAGCTTCATCTATCACAGGAAATAAAACTCTTACTAAAGAGTAGTGTACTGCATCTTTAAGCAGTAGAGGGTAAACTACCTGCAAATGTGAATTTCTTAGTTTCGTTTAAAAATATAGTTGTTAACCTTCTGTGTGCCAAAAACTCTTAAGTTACATTTTCCTTCAAAGCAATGTACCTTTTTCTACATATGCAATATGTAGTTAGCATAAAATCATTGGTGCCATGAAGATTATTTTTAAACTTAAATAAATATTTAAATATCATCAAAGAGTGGGCTCTTTCTTTAACTCATAGCCTGTCTTACTTTCCCCCCTTAAAGTTACCAACACAGATAAAAGGCTACCAGTGGGATTTACACAGCTGACTGCTATTCACTTGGACCATATAAAAATAATCATTTTGCTAGTATTCACCTATTATACTTGTCCCTACCCTCAAATAAATACAGTAAGAAACTGAGAAGCTATAAATGTGGTAATAATTTTAAAGTGAATTGGACACCATTTTTCTGATGAGGAAAACCAAGGCGGCTAGTGATTTTCCCAAGATTAAATAGTGGTAGAGCCAACTAGAACCCAGACGGTCCAGCTTCTGGTCCAGTGTTCTTACTCAAGCCTGGAGTAAGTCGGAGCACAGAAAATACTAAGAAGGAACTAGAATGGTACCACTACAGTAACAAGCCACATATTTACAAAATATATCCCAATAGCATAAATTCATCTGATTATGTAACCATGATTCTGTGGCTACAGAATTGGAAATGGTCTTCTAAATTCCATGAGGTTAAGTAAGAGGTGACACTGGGGGCTTCATCCATTGTGCTAGCTTTTTACATAATCTTTGTCTTCTCAATTCTGCTTGCCCTCCACTCTCCCATTTCTGTTGCCAGATCATCTTCCTAAACACCAATCAGGTTATGTTACTCACCTCCAAGTTTCAGAGGTATCCATTACCTATAAAATGCTATCCAGCACCCTATCCCCAGTGGAATTTTTTTATGTTTTTATGACATAAGTTTTTGCTTGAAGTGATCCAAAGAGTAAAAAGCACAAGGAACACTGGACTTGGGTGACTTCCCATGGCCCTACCAATTCACAGCAGCCTCCCTTCTGCTGAGAGCTTATCAAGGACTGCCTGTGCACATTCTGATAGGACTCTAGTCCCTACTTCCCTCTGCTTTGGGTTCCTCCAGCACAATCTAGCTCCTCTGCACCTGAACACACTTTTGGTTTTAGCTTGTGAACAGGCTTCCTCTTCAGACCCCTACAACCTGCTGATGGAGTAGAATAAAACCAGCTAAGCACACTTTTAATCAATTCTCTCTTGCCCAGCTTCCATTATGGGGAAAATGTATCATAAAATGTGTTGTCCTTAAGCTCTGTAAAATTATACTTAATGTTATCTTCCTCATAAATTCTACCTTTTCATTTGAAAGTCCAAATATTTATAGCCAAATGAGTCAAAATACAATCTATGCTGTCTTGATATTTCTAGCTATCAATATCCTACTAAAAAGCAGGGGGAAATGTACTAAGTCAGAAAGGACAACCCAACAGGACATCAAAGTTTTTGGAATCTCAAGTTAGGGGGCATATATTTCCTCTTCTCAATACAATACAGAAGGCATGTATGTCTTCTGCCCTACTCTACCCCATGTACTGTACATTGGCTGAAAGGATTTAAATTCTTGTATCCACAGCCCTAATGCTCCCTGCTTTCCTGGAGAACTCCCTTTGCAAAATCTTCTTGGTGAAAAGGAAAACTCAAAGACCAGAATACTAAAAATAGGACTTAAGCAACTCAAATTCTTCTAATTCCTAATCATTTGTGGTCTCTCCTAGTCTGACCAAGTCTCTGACCACCAAAACAACAATTGTCTGCTTCTTCCTTAAAAGTTACATAAGGAAAGGGGGAGGAAGAGAAAGAAAAAGTCACATAACGAACGGCTGAATATCTTAAAAATAATAATAAATAACTCAAGTGAAATTCAGAGCTTACATTCCATCAAGTGGAATTCAGGGCTTAAGAGATAACATAAAAGCCAAACTTACAGAAAACCTTTATCCTGAAGGGAGCAATCATAATACACACGCAATTACAGAAGCCACAGCTGTAAGCAAGTCTCTGGGAAAAGTGCCTTGCACTACAGATTACACTGTAAGGATGTCCCAAGGGAGACAATTTTATGTGCTGTCTAGATTTAAACAATTACTCCGTTAAAAGCTGATCACCAAAAAAAAAAAAAAAAAAGAAACAAGTCCCTACTCATTCCCCTTCCTTCCTGCATTGCCTCAAGATAACTCTATAAAGTGAAACAATGTAAATAGCACTGTTTATGAAACTACAATCTCAAAAGAAACCACAAAAGTGAGAAACATCAAGAATTTGCTAATGTTTATTGAAGAGTCCAGGCAATTACCGCCAGGTATTCAAAGCTTAAATGATGGTACTAATTTGAGAGTAGTTTTCATCATCTTAAAAAGAAAAAATTAAAAAACACAATTCCCATAGAACTAACCATTCTAGAACCCAGGAAATTAACTGGCATAGAAATGAGAAAGGTAGCCTAAAGCCTTTACAGTGTTTCCTGAACAGTATAATTATAATTCAACCTCACCTAGCTTTACTTTCCCTTTATAAATTAACATTTCCATCTCACTTGTCAATTCCCCTACTTACATCAACTAGAAAGTTGAGAACTGTTTTCCTCTTAGAAGTCAAACATATTGCCAAAGCCATTTACAAGTCTTTCAGTAGTATCTGGAAATTTAAAAGTACCAAAAAAGTTGGATAGATGTCACACAGTAATATAAGTAACTGATCTGGCAGCTCCCCTCCCAACAACACATTGAAATTACCATCACTTCTGAAAAGAAAATATTTTGATGAAAGAAATACCAAAAGTATACCCAAATATGAATAAGAATGAAGGTATTCACTTAACACTATTGAATATCCTTTGGAGAGTTTAAAGATGGGGACAAGTAAGACTGGGACATTCTAAGCAGTAGCTTTCGCTTCTTGAACCATTACCCATGGTACTACAGTAATTAAAAATATATTTTTTTTAACATCAGAATATACATAAACATATATACCTACAAATATATATGCATATATAAGTTTTACAAAACAATACTTACTCAAATATGTTTTCTGTTCTTTACAAATTATTTCCTTTTCATTTTTTTCAACACCAGTCATTGTCATTTAACTGATTTCATGTGAAGAGCAAAAACCCACAGTCTGAAAAACACAGGTCTGAGGCAATTCTACACTGGAATGCAGGGACCAGGGCAGATCCACACCCTGTGCCTGGGAGTCCTGGCTGTGTCTCAGGAGCCATCTAGAGGAAGGGGAAAGGAAAGCACAGAGAGACCCAGACCCTGCCCTGGGTAAACCAAAGCTGCTTAGCAGTTATCTTGGCATTTCACATAAGATTTAACCTACAGGGAGGGTGGCAAAAAAAAGTTCTCAGTTAAAAAAAAAAATCAAGTTTCAAAATCACTGAGTTAGATTACCTTTCCAGGCCCCCTTCCAGTGTGAGTCTAGAAATAAGTATTCATTCCAAACTATAAAAAAGATCACAAATCCATGTATCACTACAGAATCAAAACCATATCATTAACTCATAAAAACTTTTAATAATAGTCAAAGCTTTATAATTTATAATGTTAGAATTTCTCAACATACTGTCTTGATTAAAAGTGCTGATGGCTCTAGGTGTGTAATCCCAGTACTTTGGGAGGCCAAGATGGGTGGCTCACCTGAGGTCAGGATTTCTAGACCAGCCTGGCCAACATGGTGAAACCCTGTCTCCACTAAAAATACAAAAATTAGCCAGGTATGTTGGAGGGTGCCTATAATCCCAGCTACACGGTAGGCTGAGGCAAGAGAATCACTTGAACCCAGGAGACGAAGGTTGCAGTGAGCCAAGATTGTGCCATTGCACTCCAGACTGGGCAACAAGAGCAAAACTCCATCTCAAAAAAAAAAAAAAAAAGTGCTGAAGGCACTTCAGCCTCCCCTCACATTCCCTCCCCATCCTACAGAAGTAACCTCCAAGACTTCTCCCTTACTAAAAGTAAACCCTTCTTATAGTTTTATTAATAAAACAATTTTATATTTCCTAAATCTAACACATTACCAAGTAAACACACTAAGCTATGCCAATTACTAGGTTCCTTAGACAGTGGTCAATTTGAACAAACTGATGTTCTTAAACCAAAAACTCGGCAGCTTTTTTAATTCATAAAAGCATGTATCTTCCCACTGGAATTACCTCCAGCCAAAATATACCGAGTTGGGTGCATGGCATTGATGGAACACACAGAGACAAGGCATTCTCCACCAAAAGAATGCACCCTCTTTCCTGTCTCATGGAAGATTTCTATCCGTCGTGGACGGGCCATGCTGCCAACTATGATGCAGTCTTCTTGTTTAGGATCCCACATGGCTTGGAACCTGGTCAGCCATCGCCCAGTGAAAGTATTGTGCCTAGTGAGGAAAACAAAGTATTTTTTAAATGAAGGTTAAATAAGGTAGCACTGGGCACAGGATAAAGATGGCATTACTCCTAAATGCTACTTTTCTCTGCCAAGTTTCTTCTCATTAAGTTACTGAATTACCACCAACCTTATCTTACCCTCTCTATAGGCTGAAACTCTGGAAAGAGATGATATCCTCCTCATCCAAAAATCTCCCAAAATAAAACATATGGAGCCCTTTATAGCTCTTAAAAGCATAAATAAAAGTACTGCCCTTTTAGTCTCTATACCTTAATATCACTAACAATCCTTTTTCATTAAAGTACGGACTACAGAGAAAAGCATTTCCCACTGCCACTTAAATGACCCTATCTTTAAGGAAAATTCTTAGCCCCTAGAATAATCACCCTAAATTATTTTTTACATACACACATACGCATACAAACACAGTAATAAATTTTTTTTTAATGTGCATAATATGGTCGGGCACAGTGACCCACACCTGTAACCCCAGCACTTTGGAGGCGAAGACTGGTGGATTACCTGAGGTCAGAAGTTCGAGACCAGCCTGGCCAACATGGCAAAATACAGTCTACTAAAAATACAAAAATTGGCTGGGCGTAGTAGCTTACGCCTGTAATCCCAGCACTTTGGGAGGCCGAGGCAAGCGGATCATCTGAGGTCAAGAGTTCAAGACCAGTCTGCCAAAATAGTGAAACCTCGTCTCTACTAAAAATGCAAAAATTGGCCAGGCATGGTGGCACTTGCCTGTAATCCTAGCTACTCAGGATGCTGAGGCAAGAGAATCACTTGAACCCAGGAGGCAGAGTTTGCAGTGAGCTGAGAGTGTACCACTGCACTTCAGCCTGGGTGACAGAGTGAGACTCCATCTCAAAAGGACCAAAACAAAACAAGATAGAACAAAACTTTGGTACGACAAAAGCATATAACTCAAAGTGATTGAT